CGCAGCCAATCATAAAATGGTTGCAACTGTTGTGTTTTGCTGAACGCAGCCAATGTTGTCTATTCGGCGGGAAATAGTAGAACGTAGTGAAACAAGGCGTGGAGAGGTATACTATTGTGCGTGATCGTCAAGATCGAAGCCCTCTGTTTCGAAAGGAAACTGATAGACTTTCCGGCCGTGTTGATAATAATAAACTGTCATTATGTACAATTTAACAGAAGGAGCATTGGAGGTAAGTCTTTCGAAGTTTCTATATAGTTATTGCGTTGTATTGCTTAACATTAAGATTTTATCGTTTCAGAAAATCATGCGAGGCGTAGATGTTGATAACCCGGTACTCCAAGTATTGGTGAGTGTGAAAATAATTCGACAGAATCTGATCAGTTATATCCTTGCGAATCGAAATTATTTATCTTGAAAGCGTGATTTTTTAACCAGCAACATCCAGGCTAGTAAAGTTAGTTAGTGTTAGTAAAATTAGGCTAGTGACGTTGCTCCTGTCGCTTTTATTTGGGGATTATAAATTAAAATATAAAGTTTGTCATACTCTGATGTGACATGTGTCATAACTCATGATGTATATCTGTCATGTTAAACTCATTTTTATTGTCAAAAATTAACTTTTATTACACACGATGGGTCATTTGTATCCTGAGGTAATATTCATCGCTTTAACAAAAATAATTAAGTGATCCTTAGCGAATTCGGTCACTTGCACTATACTAGATCAGTGCATACTAAAAGCTGCTTTACATGATATTAGCAAAGTTAAATGTAAAAGTATATAAATATTTTAAACGATTAATTATCTACTAATGATATATCACGTTATTTAACAAAATATATGTGTATCACTGCATTGAGATATTTTATATAAAGCAGCTTTTAATATGCACTGATCCAGTATAGTGCAAGTGATCGAATTCACCATTACATATACATATTTTTCGAAGAAAAGAAATGTATAGGATATGATTGACCCAATCGTGTGTACAAAAGGTTAAGCTCTTATATAGAACTTTAACTATAGCAAGGATTCTGTCGTATAGCTTTTTAGGGGACAGAGTCTTAAATAATATATATAATTTTTCAGGGTTACAAGAAACTCCCAAGAAATGTTAATAAAGATGGTTCTGCTACTGATCGATTCAGATTGCTGATATCAGATGGACAGAAGTTAAACTCATTCACGATGTTGGCTACTCAATTGAACAATCTGATCACAGAGAATATTTTGAATGATTATGCGATCTGCAAAATAACCAACTATCACATGAGTTCAGTGAACAACAGCGGCAAAGAAAAGTATTGTTTCACCTTTTTACTTTGTGCATTTAAGTATATAAATAATTCAAGGATCAAACATATTTTATTCTGTTAGACGCGTTATGTTGATACTGGGTATCGAAGTGTTGGTTCCTGGCGATAAAGTTGGAAGCAAAATAGGTAATCCGACTAATATAGAAATGAAGTCAGAGTCTGAATCTACGTCTACGTCTACGTCTACATGTACGTCTGGGGCCACAACTGCATATTATCAAAGTAAGTATATTGTTGATATGTGTCAACTGTATTTAGGATAAATTACTGATCAATTTGGATTTGTGATACTTTGGTGTATAACACAAAATTTTTTTTTATAGATGGTTCAACCAAAAATGCTACTTCAAATTATCAAGCCCCTTCTGACATAAACACTACGCCGATCGCAGCATTAAGTCCTTATCAAAACAAGTAAGAGAGAGTTCTATGTAAACTATGGATTTGTTTTTTCTTCTTACATTAAACTTTGCAATTATAAATATATTAAAACTTTCTCTCCTTAACCAAATATCAAATATTGTTAATTTTATTTGAAATTATACATGTGTGATGTTGAAGAAAAAAGAATATGTGTTTAGATGGGTGATAAAGGTTCGTGTGACCAATAAGTCTCCAATCAAAACATGGAGCAACTCCCGCGGAGAAGGTAAGCTTTTTTCCATGGATCTGATTGATGAAAGTGGTGAAATTCGGTGTACTGCATTTAGAGATCAATGCGAAAAATTCTACGATATGATAGAGGTATGTTTTTCGCACTAAAATCTACTAAAATTAATAATGGTATACAAATTTTTTCTACGACGGATCTAAAACTATTGATCGTTTTGTTTATGTAGACTGGAAATGTATACTATATCTCACGATGCACACTGAAGGCGGCAAACAAACAATTTTGCACATTGAAAAATGATTATGAGATGACTATGACTGGCGATACGGAGATCATGCCTTGCCACGAAAACAGCGATGACATTCCAACATTACAGTTTGACTTCTGTCCCATAAGTCAAGTAGAGAGCAAAGAGAAAAATGACTTGTTAGGTAATGTAATATTTTTATAACAGTTAATTTTTTATTATATTTAAATCTTAAATATTAGTTTCACACACACATTAATGAAATAATTTTTTCATCATTATATATATTCCTAATAAGATAATTATACCGATGAGGGGAATGACTGACGAGCGACGGTTAAAACTTGTTGGAGGTCACTCAGGGTCAGGATCTTGACAACATATGTCAAGGTCAAGATCATCGGGGCTGGCTCCCCTCATCGGCATAACTACCCCTAATAATTTTCTGAGGCTAAAATATATATCAATTGTTAACATTTATATTACTTTGCATTTTGTTATCTGTTTTTATCTTGTTTCTAAAATTATTTAAGTATCAATTGATAATTGCTTTGTATTAAAGTTTTACTATATATTAGTTTATAAGTTTTACTATATAAAGTTTTACTATATATGATAATAAATAATAGTTTTAAATTTTATATGAGAAAAAATAAGATTTATATGTAATTTGAAAATTATGGATATAATAATACATTCGCACATAATAGATGTCTTGGGTGTCGTTACAACTTTCAACGATGTACAACAAATTATACAGCGAAGTACTGGTCGAGAACTCATAAAGAGGGACATTAATATCGTCGATGACAGCGGTACGATGGTGAGTAATTTATTCACACGCCAGATTTTAAAATTTTGCTGTTTTGGGCAGGAATAAATGAATTTTTTGTTAGGTATGTGTTACACTATGGGGTAAGCATGCTGAAGACTTTGACGGTTCGAATAATCCTATCATAGCCATTAAGGGAGCGCGCGTGGGTGAATTTAATGGTGGAAAGAATTTGTCCCTTTTACATTCCTCTGTAATTGAAAAGGATCCTGATCTTCCTGAAGCACACAGGTATATTTAAGCTGACTCTTATAATTGAGATAATACTTTTAACTTTTTAATTATAATTAAAATTTATTCGTACTAGAGATAAATGGCCATATTTTTTCTGTATGTAATTTTTAACATTAATTTTTTATTAATTTTTACTTGGAGATATAATATATAATTATAATACATAAGGTTAGTAAAATACCATTTATATTACAATGTATATTTCAGATTGCGCGGATGGTACACTGCAGTCGGCCATTCGGAGAACATA